AATATTATTTTAGTATTGTCTGAGGTGGTGCTGGGGAAGCGCCCTTGTCAGAAGGTCTTGGAATGTTCACACCGTTTTGAAGCCAAGAGTTTCAGGTCTGGCGCGGTGACTGCGGGCGGTGAGCTGAGGCTGGAAACTCGGCCCGCCAGGATCAGTTACAACAATGATTTTCTTAGTTCAACGCTTCACACTTGTGTTAAACAAGTGTGCTGAGCAGTTTCATGTTGCACCCATGTGCTGTGTTAGGTGCCATTTTGGACCAATGTTTGCATTATGTACTACACGAAAAGGTACTTATAACTTAAGTTAAGACACAAAAGCCACCAAAGTTATAATATATTCTTTGCAAAAAAAGAACTGAAGCATTCGGATTGCAGCACCATGGAAAACTTTTGTTTGCCTGTTGACATGCAAGTGACCTGCAGCCTGTCATGGAGCTGACCGAGGCGCACATTCAACATGTGAAGTCCTGCAACGATGATGACAGTTGCTTTAGATGCCTGTACCTCCGAAATATGAAGCTTTGGAGGAAGCGGATGCCATGGCTTATTGACCAAATGTGGAAGCATCCCGGTGATGAGAATAAGCTAGTTTGGGGTCTTGGTTGCCAACTTTGCATCAAGGCTGGGTTAACCACTTCATCAACTTTTGCATCCATGGGCTTTGATGGATCTGGGGGCTTTAGCGGTGTGCTGCGGCATGCCAAAAGCAAGGCCCGTGAAAAGGCACAGAAAGTACTTCATGGTGAAGACGTTCTTGACGCCCCCAGCAAGGATGACTTTGCTAAGTTTATGCAGGAAAGACTTTTGGTCAGAAATATGCTTTTTAGTCGGGGTTTGAGTTTTTTCAATTCCTTTGACTTGCTTTGACCATCGGCGAGAACTTTTGCTTGACATATGTTTGATTGAGTTGGGCCATTTTGTTTGGGCTAGGAAAGATGCGATCGTCCCTGAACTTCCACATACCTGGACTTGGGGGACGAAAGAAGATGACTCAGATGCAGCGCTGTGTTGGCATGGCCTGTGACACTATCGACTTGGTTTTCCTCCTGGAAAAATCCTCATCCATAGTTCTTCACCAGGATGTGTCGAAGGGGCTCTTGGTAGTGACTTTCAGCGCTTGCTCCGAGAGCCTTGAGGTGGTCCGGGGCTTTCTTGGTTGTTGCCCAATTCCCCCAGCCGAAATGGAGAGCTTGCAGAAGTGCACGAGGGATATTCTTCGCACAGCGTGTGCTGGAAATCAGGCCTATTTCGATGTGATTCGGAAAAAGGTTGCAACTTGTATCAATCATGTTGCCTTTGTAGCTTTTTTTTGGGAGTCTGGCGGTGATTGAATGTTTGAAAGGAAAAGCTAAAATAAGAATTTTGGCCGCCCTTTGTTACCGCAATCATCCAAGGAAGTGTTGGTTGCAGATGCAGCGGCCGATGAACAATTGGCCTTGAGGTTGATGCGAGCTGACTCCACCATGTTCGAGTCCACAAAGATGGTAGTCAAGGATCCGACACATTGCGTGAGGCGGTTTTTATCGCGCCCATTTGCGGCCATTCCAGAAATACATGAAGTGCATTCCACCCTCATCACCAGGGGTGACTCCATGACATGCACGCTGCAGTTCTCAGATGTGCTGGGATCAGCCTTTGCTGAATTTTGCAAAAAGATGCACGACAACAAACGCGTGCGGAACCTTCAGTTTAGAAAACACCGATTCGACAGCTGTCAGAGACCCACTGGCAGATTTGTCCTCTATGCCAAAGCCTTCATCTCCACGGCAATCTTTGCATCAACACATAGGAAGGGCGAACGAGACGGCACGAGGGCAGAGCAATTCCTGCAATACATCAGCGAAAAGCGTTTGCTGTTGTTGTCGATGCTGGCTGATGCCAGTGATGAAGTTAGCATCCTGGTGCGTTTTCTCGATCAGGGCGATTGGGACATGGCCAGTTTGCTTGCAGAGATCCAACAGTTCGTCAGCCGTGTGTCATCTCTGTTCTTGGACGGCCAATGTAGGCATTCTGGATATTGCGAGTATATGCTCCAGACATTGAGAACACCCACCGCCTTTTTGACCGCCTCCGGCCCCCGGTCAATTGGGGGCGATCGGATGACAGACGCGCTCTTTCAAGAAACTCTGCAGGAACAGGGTTGTCGTCGTTTACTGTTTCACAATTATTGATATGTGTATACGACGAGGTATATATCGGCATTGTCATAAGTGATAATTAGTTATAATTAGCTAGTTGTATTGTGTTTCAATCTGGGTGCTGGAGAAGCGCCACACCTCAGAATTGGTTCAAGGACACAGTTACAGTTGTGTTGTTTTTCAATCCTATTTCAGGAACATAACCTGTTCAGTGCTGCGCAGTTTTGTCATGAAATGATCTTTTCTTTTGCTGCAGGAAATGCACGCATGGGTAGCCTTGCTCACACACACCGTGGAGGCAGAGTTTCCAGGCTTTAGCCTGATGTGTGCCATGAGCATCTTCAACTTGAACGCCCGAAGTCGTGATTCCGAGGTGGGCCAGGAAGGAATGGCTTATATTCGAGATGCTGCCCACCGGTTGTGCGCCGCATTCCCAGAAGTCAATGAGGAAAATTTCATTCATGAGTTCCTGGACATAAGGCCGATTGCGATGCACCACAGCAAGCTTGCGTCTGTCAACTCCTTTGAGTCATGGAGGCAAGCCATCAGGCAAGTGAGCCGCCGCTCCAGCACATCTCATCCAACTGATAACCTTTCCAAACTTGTGATGAGGCTTGGGGCTTGGGATGGCTGCACAACAAGTGGGGTGGAGAGAGTCTTCGCCAAGCTTCGCAAGTGTGAGAGGTGCCTATCTGACCAAAACAAACGGTTGGAATTGAAAATGTTGTGGGATTGTGATCGGATTGGTCCTGAAGTTTTCAGTACAGCTTCAACAATCTGGGCTCAGCTTTATGGAGCGCCTCGCAATGGAGCCACCCCTCGGCTGGACACGGGTGTGAAGCGAAAGCGGGTGGTGTGCTGGATTGATTTTGAGCAACTTTATATATTTATTTATTGTTTTTGCTGGCTTACTTAATTGTAGTGTGTGTGGTTACCTTTTGCACTTTTTTGACTTAACTTTAAACAATTGTGTATGCTTCCAGGATTCTACGACTGAGACGGCTTTCATTGCCAGACGGCGGGCGGCGGTGGCAAGTGCAGGCTCAAAGTCTTTATCGGATGTCAAAGAGCGAGCAGCTTGCGCAGCTTCAGACCTGATTGATGCGTCAGAATCCATCCAGCAGGAAATTACCTTCCAACAACAGAAGCAGTTCAAGAACAAGATTCAAGGGTTCTTGGACGGGGTATTGCTGCAAAGTGAGATTCCCGAAGACATGCAGGAAACTGCGCAGGCTTTCCTAGAAGCCCAAGATTTGGCTGACAAGAGGAGAGATCGAACAAAATTGAATCAATGTGAGAAACTTAGTCGATCCACACCTCAGATCCAGAGCGTTCACAAGGTTTGGGTGCAGGACGAAGCATGGGCTGAAGACTTCAAGAGGTTCATCTACACAGCCGAGGTCACTGAGGCATTGTTCTTTGTGGTCAAGGACCCCGCCACACCTCCGCCTACGATCCATTGGACTCTTGTCCTTCAGGGTGGATTCGTGATTGATTACACCCACCTTCAATATCAAGCCCAGGGTCGACCAGCGAGAGTCAGAAATCGAGGGGCAACGTTTGCTTATGACCCAGCAGTGCGGACAAGGAGGCGAGTCTTGGTATCACCAGCCTTCAGAGAACGCTGCCCGCGAATTTCTCGAGTCATCGATGCAGCGTGCAGTCACAGGCTCTCTCAATGGACACCATTGAATTCCTGGGAGGAGTTTGCGGCGAGATGTGAAAAGGATGGAAAAAATACCTTCTCTACAATCGCTTTGGGGACAGCTGCCGAGGCAAGGGCTCTCAACGGCAGGAGAAACGTTTTCAGCCAAGCTGAATTTCTGCAATGGCTGCAGAAGGTGGCTTGCGTGTACAACTTCAAATGAGGGCCCATGCTGAGCCTAAGGGGTTGGGATGGCTTAGCATGGCTTGATGTTTCATGTGGCTAGAGTGCAAAAATGCGATAGATGTTGTTTGTTTGTGCTGGACAAGCGCATTCACAAACATGTACATGATTATTGCTGTTTCTTGTATTATTTTACTGGGTGCTGGACAAGCGCCACACACAGCAACAATTTGATGCATTCTGCTGCTGATTTTGCCAAAGCTGAATTTTTACGATTGAGGCATTGGCATGGAGCATTGGTTGGCGCGCTTGCAGGCAGTGAGGGGTCACGTTCAGGGGATGTCAAGACGGTGTCCAAGGGTTTTATTCGGTGCTGCAAAAGCGCTGCTGTTTTAATTTTGGAAAATCACTTAAACTCAAGGTGCTGCAAAGCGCTCCTGGCATTGAGTTGAGACATGCTTTCATATCGCAGTGACCTTTGGGCTTTGGGTTGTCTGAAGCAGCTTGGTATCATGGCGCCCAAGGCCAAAGCAAAGCCAAAAAACAAAGGCCGCCGCCACGGCTAAGGCACTACTGGCACCAGACGACAAGGCTGCCGAGGCAACTGGCGGAATGGCTCCAGTTCAGGAGGCCAAGGCTTTGGAAATGGTGCAGGAGGTGAACCGCGAACACCTTCAGAAGCTGGAGGATTCCATCCAGACGATTCTGAGCCATCCTCTCTTCAGCAACATCATGCACGAGAGCCCGCTCAAGATCGACAAGACAGCTGGTGCCAGTGAAGCCGGCATGCAGGCCTGGTTTCATTGCATGTTTTGAAGGTTTTTGAAGACTCAAGCTGATTGTACTTCCTCACACAGATCAACCGTTCATTTCTCCAGGTTTTTGAGCACCGATCAAATTGTTTTCATTAATACCATTTTGTTGTCTCCAGCAGTTTCAATTTTGCAGCTCTGCAACAGTTTTGAATTTCAGTGCTGAAGAAGCGCCTGAAAATCATCAGGTTTCAGAGCTGATAATTTGATTTTCACAGTGCAGCTCTGCAACAGTTTTGAATTTCAGTGCTGAAGAAGCGCTTTAAAATCATCAGGTTTCAGAGCTGATAATTTGATTTTCACAGTGGTCAACCTCTCGAATTCAGCAAACAATGGACATCAAAGAATAGCTTTCAACCGTGTATCATGCCAAACCTCTTAGAACCAAAAGCGCCCTCATTCCTGACAAGGCATCACAAGATCATTCTTGGCCAAGGGATGATGAGGCATTACCAGGTCTTATTTATTTGCAGGGATCCATGTGCACCCGCCTCATGTTGCCTAAAAGTATGATGTTTAAAAAAGTCTTCAGCGTATTACTATAGTCATTCATGCATCGTGCGCGCCAGACGGTGTATCGTGCGCAGTTGGTTCTTATCGTGCGCGCCCACCTGTGTATCGTGCGCACTTGATTCTCTGTGCAGCGTGCGCGCCCACTGTGTATCGTGCGCGCCTGATTCTTTGTGCAACGTGCGCGCCCACCTGTGTATCGTGCGCGCCTGATTCTTTGTGCAACGTGCGCGCCCACCTGTGTATCGTGCGCGCTTGGTTCTTTGTGCAACGTGCGCGCCCAACTGTGTATCGGGCGCGCACGATGCACCCGCGCACGATACACCCCTGAGCGCGCACGATGCACAGCTCAATGAAAATAAGGTTTCTAGTGTTTGTCTCCACATTTGGGACCCCCCTTGAGAGAGGCAGTGCATATGCACTGCCTCTCTCAAGGGGGGTCCCAAAAAAATTTGAGATTTTAAATTTGTTGGCTAAAAAAATT